ACGTTCATTCAAAAAGTGGTAGCTAAGAACATGTCACTTAAGTACAGATATGTAGGTAGCAAGTTTACCTGTAAGCAGTGGCGTTTCCTTAACCTCAATCTACCTGTGCACCAACTCTCAAAACATGAACAATTTATCAAAATATTGCTTGCAATGGATAGATATCGAGTAAACTAGAAGCATAGACAAACAGACATAACACATTGAATATATCTCATTGTAAAACATCGTCGCTAAAACATTACCGCCATCTGTTGAGTACACTGTGGTGAGTAGTAAGCTGAACAGATGGCGGTAGTGTGTGAACGGCAAACGCAAGGGAATTGACTATGTGCGCCACAGGTGGCAGTACTACCAACTGAGATACTTTCAAATTGATCGTTAAATGCTTGGTCGATGAACAACTTGTGAGAGTTATGTCTGTTTGTCTGTGCTAGAAGATTAAGTGTATTTTTGAATCGGTTCGGTAGCATTAAACCTGGTTTTTAAAGTTGGTGCACAGGTAAAAAGTGAGGTTACGGGACACCACTGCCTGTAGGCATTATGACAAAATAAAGGGTGTCCACGATGGAATTGCCACACACAATATTGATTCGCAAAATTCGAGTTTTCATTGGATTGCCATCAAATTTCAGGGATTGAGAAATAACTATTAAACTTCATTTTACCATGTTACTCGTATTTTATTTACAGTCCATACGCAAATGCCCGCACCTTGGCCTTAACCCCGGCCATAAGATTCTGCACAACCTGTGAATCAACCGTTTTTTGCATGTAAACCCATACTTTCTTCAGTTCCTTGACTGTCTTCACTACCTTAGGTCGTTTAAGAAGGTGCTGCTTCATAATCGCCCAGTACTTCTCGATGGGGCGGAGCTCCGGAGTGTTGGGAGGGTTGAACATTTTCGGCACGAAATTGACCTTATTGTCCGCATACCACTTCAGCACGTCCTTGGAGTAGTGGCATGAGGCCAAATCCGGCCAGAAGATTGTTGGGACGTTGTGGGCCTTCAGGAGAGGAAGCAGCCGCTTCTGGAGGCACTCTTTTATGTACACCTGTCCGTTCATCGTGTCCTGGGTCACGAAAGGTGCACTCCGCTTCCCGCACGTGCAGATGGCTTGCCAAACCAGGAATTTCTTCGCAAATTTGGACATCTTCTGAGTGCGGACATGCTCCGGAACGCTGAACTTATCCTTGGCCGTGAAAAACAGGTTTCCGGGGATCTGTTTGAAGTCGGCCTTCACATATGTTTCGTCGTCCATGATGCAGCATTCAACTTTCGTCAGCATGTTGAGGTACAACTTCCTGGCACGGGTTATGGCGGACTTGTTCTGCTTCTCGTCGCGATTAGGGGCATTTTGTACCTTGAACGTTCGAAACCCAGCCTTAGTTTTGGCCTTCTGGACAAAACTTCGGCTTAGGTGCAGCTTCTTAGCCACATCCCTAACGGAGGCGTTCGGATTTCGGTTGAAGGCCCCAACTACGCGGTTGTGATTTTTGGTGTTGTACGGAATACTTTTTCCATCACTTCTGGGCTTCCGATCGGTGGTCAACCGTTCCTCGAACCGCTTAATCACTCGCGACACCGTGGAATTCGCGATTCCCAACGTTTTAGCGATGGAACGATGCGAGAGATCCTTGTTCTCGTGATGAATGCGCAAGATTTTATCACGCACGAGCTGTTCTTTCGACTCCATTTCCGCGAGTTTTGATCACAGGACTTCAAAACTTGCAGGATGTAAATAATGACTAAATCCACCCAAATTTTCATTAAATTCTACCCAACGGTTAAAAAGTTAGAGCAATTTCATAGTGTGGCAATTTCATCGTGGACACTCTTTACTAAAACGATGAGAACAAAAAAATCACAAAGTGGTACAAGATCGCAACAAAATGATTTAGATGTTCATAGAATGATTTATTTGGACCGGATTTGAAATCGATTGAACTGGGTTGAGCAAAATCGACATTTTGAAGAACCATTCTGTGTGCTACGAAAACCAACAAACCATAGGCCTTTTTAATAGAAACTAAACGATCGCTTCAACTTCTGGTGGTGAATAGGAGAACGTCAAAAAGAGTGTTGTGAGCATAAATTTTTGTCTTGAGACATAGGAAGCGGAACACTTTTTTACTTTTCCTGATAAATTGATTCATCTGAGATGTTGCAAAACTTATTTTACAGTTGAAAAATTTAATTCTGTATTTTGTTGAGAAAAATGGAAAATTAGAAAAGTGCCTTAGTGGTTATGATCTTCCGGATTTCTTGTGTGTGAATAGTTAAGGTGCAAATCAGTTCAGATTTGTAGAAAATCGTACAATAAGACAATTACCGATGGAAATTGGCAAGATTTTGAATGAAAAATGCTGTTATTTGCGTTGGGGAAAATACTTATTCTGATGTAAACAAACGGTTTGGTTGACGTTTCTTCTCGAACTCGCGTGGCGCATTCTACATTGGTGGTGCATTAAAAAGGCGTATCGGGAGAGGGAGAATTTTCTTTATCCGATGGTTTTGTTGGTTTACATAGGCGATCTTCGGTTCGCGCGAAAAGGGCATTACAAGTTGATAGGCCCTTTTATATGTTTGGTCGAGAGTTTTCGATCGTTGGATGTTGTCAGTGCACGGCGAATGAGAACGACCCAAATTTGAGTTTAGTTCACTCATAATCGCCAAAAGTGCAGGTGGGGGAGAGGTAGCTCATCGATTCTTAGCTCATCGATTCTTCCGGTTCACCTCCTAGCATCGTGCTATAAGGTACCAGGCGATAACCAGGGTAGTTGATCGATAGCTCGATGACGTCGTTTCTTTGGCGTCTGCAATTGGAAATTCTCATAGCAGGTGTTGACGATGGGACGTTATCGAGTTGTTGAATAGCAACTATCGTGGTAACTCACCGATTACCTGTCGATCTGCCAAATTTGGAAAGACGTCTGCATTGAATTGTCTCATATAATAATATTCCGCCCACTATATTACAAGAAATTACGAGTAGCTGAGTGAAATGGAGATAAGTTAAGCATTGGGTACAGGACCAAGTCTCCCCTGGATGGTGCCAGAAGATGAGCGCAATAGAATCATCAAGTTGCCATAAGGCACGAAATGAGACTATTGCATGGCTGGGTAGTCAAAGTCTTCCATTCGTTAGTCATTTCAGGTGGATTAGAACAGGTTTAGGTTTAGGGTGGGCGTTGGCCAGATTTGGATTTTTCAGATGTCATCCTGGATAGGACCCTGTCATTGAACGTCGCGTGAAAGTGGAACTTAATGAAGGCCTAAGTACTTTTTCGCAGTTTTTAGTTTTCGGATTTGAAAGATCGTCGGTAACCGTGGCCTGTGGCCTGCTTACTTAGCAGAAAAACGCGGTCCCAGGTCCTTACATATCAAAGAGATTTATGGTAAAATCGCTTGTGTATCGTGTATCGAAACTCGTTGTTGTCGTTGGTTCCGGGTTTGAATGGATACAAAAATTTGAGCAACGGTATTATGTGATATGAGGGGCTCGGTGGCCTTAGAGCAACCGTTTTTGCTTCATGAGTCTAAACTCAGGCCCATTCACATTAAAGATTCGTCAATCGTTTTATTTGTTAATATGACTACATGGTAATAACAGCAATTCGGTGATCAAAAAGGTGCTCGTCTGCCTAGTTGCAAACGTTTTTGCTCACTGAGCAGAAGACCGTGAGTTTAGTCCCAAGCTCCTTCGCGTTATATGATCGTTAGGACATCAATTCAGTTTACCAAAACGAACCCTGCTGCAAACCCAACCCTCTTATCCAGCATCCCAGTGATTCCTCGTGGAAGTGCAGAGGTGTTCTCGGCTTCCATCAAAGCGAGTGTCATGACCAGGCATGGAAAATCATTTGCATTCATTGCGTGCATTCATTTACATTCATTTGCCTCTAACTTTTTTCATCAACAGCATTCCGCAAAATGGTGTGTAGAGCTTTTGTAGGTTTTGTTATTACCTACAACTTTTGATAAAAAGTCAAATCCGTATCTCTTATGCATGGCGAACCAGAGCGAACAGAAGCCACTACTGTTTGTCAGTGAATGTATTTTACATTTACTAAAAAACAGTAACAAGTTCTGTCAGCTCTAGTTCGTGATGCATAAGAGATACGGATTTGACTTTTTATCAAAAGTTGTAGCTAATAACAAAACCTACAAAAGCTCTATACCTCATTTTGCGGAATGCTGTTGATGAAAAAAGTTAGAGGCAAATGAATGTAAATGAATGTATGAAATGAATGCAAATGATTTTCCATGCCTGGTCATGACAACACAATCCTTCCCATTCCTTTCTTGACCTGTGTTCGGGCGCGGCCGGCGCTGGTATTGCCTAATTTAAGATCACCAGTTTTTACACATTGAGGATGATTGCTAGTCCCAAGCATCGTCTATTGGTTCTCTGTGTAATTACAGCTGATCTGGCAGTAACAGAGTAGCAACCGTGGGCGGTCAATCAAGCTCAAGCTCATAATCGCCAAAAGTGCAGGAACTCAGCGATGAGTAAATTTGTCTCATGGTTTGTTTCCTGTGGAATACCTAAAAAATCTGCCGGAAAATGTGGAAATTGCCGAAAGTTTTATTCAATCTCGGAGTAGTACCAATAGACTGAGTGAATTCAATCTTAACTTTTCTCAAATTCGGGAATTTTTCACAGGAAAATATTGGAAAAACCTAGGAAAACATGAGACAAATTTTACTCATCACTGAGTTCCTGCACTTTTGGCGATTATGAGTGAACTAAACTCAAATTTGGGTCGTTCTCATTCGCCGTGTGAGTAATCGCAAATTGTAGGTATTGACAACTATAGTTGCACAAGGTGTTAAGTTTTGTGATTGTCTAAGGGTTTAAATATGCCAAACAAAATATCTTTTCGTTTAAATTTTAAAATCATTTTTTAGGACAAGATTGCCCGGATTTCAGTACTAAATTCTTTCATAGTATCGGTTTTTTAAAGTAGTTTTTAATAATTTTCATTTTTTTTCTAGATACCCGCCACTACTACACGAATTTTACTAAATCACTTCAAATGGGACAAAGAAAAGCTGATGGAACGTTTCTACGATGGCGATCAAGAAAAACTATTTAAAGATGCTCATGTCATCAATCCGTTTCGAAAGCCCAGCACAGTCAATAAGCCAAAGGTTTGCTCCTTAAGACACCACAAACGACCAAATTTCACACGATTCTATGTTTTTTCTAGATAAAAAAATCTGGAACGGAAGATTGCGATATATGCTATTCGTCATTTCCTCCTAGCGTAAGTACCTATCGATGGTTGTGCTGTTTTACATACTTTTTACATGTACATACCTATATCCCATTTTTATACCACACACTCCTCGACAGTCCTGTCTACGGTTTCTATTTTCGGTGTGCAGTGTTTTTGTTTTGCATTTTTTTTTTATCATCGTCATTGCCCTTCGATTGGTGGTAGAGGCACACGATCGAGGTTAAAATAAAGCACAATTTCTTCACTTTCATTTGACTCTCGAAATAAAACGGACGAAACCCGCGCACAAACCACCACAGGAAGTTTAATGTAACGTGCGGTGGGTCAATCACCTGCTCTATTTCACCAATGAGATTGAAACTTTTCTAATCAATTAAACGTGTGGTTTCTTGCTTTTGCGAACTCTGAGATGTCATGTTCATAATAAATGTCGTGGTGTGTGTGCCATCGATACATTGTAAAGTGAAATGTCAGTACAACAGTAAACAGAACATGTGCCAAAATCTAACTCAAGGTCAATCAATTGCAGACGGAGTGTTACAGTTTATACATGTCTACATCCAACTGATTCTTGACCTAAGAACCGTGTATATGTGTGTTATGTAGCCGTCGTGTATATTTTGCAAACGGCACGTGTATCCTAATAGGGGCCTCAGATAGCCTAGTCAATAAAGGCACGGTATTATCAAGTCGGAGGCGGCGGGCTCAATTCTCGGTATGGTCGAGGAAATCTTTCGGTTTGGAAATTTTCTCGACTTCCCTCGACATAGAGTATCATTGTGATTGCCACACAATATACAAATTCATGCAATAGTTGGCATATAAAGCTTAACTATTCTATTAAATTTTTCATTTATTTAGCTGCAAGCGTTTTCTATGCAGACGATACGAAAATCTACAAAATTATTAAAAGCCTCTCGGACTGCTGGGATCTCCAGAATATGTTAGGAATTTTTGCTGACTGGTGCTCAAGAAATTTGATGAGTCTAAGCATAGAAAAATGTAACATTATTTCCTATCACCGAAAAATCGAACCAATCATGTTTGAATATGTTCTCTACGGACGCTGTCTTGCTCGTGTAGAGCACATAAAGGATCTCAGCGTTACCTTGGACTGCAGACTTACTTTCAGAGTCCACTACAATGACATCATCTTCAGAGCTTAGCGACAATTGGGCTTTATTTTCAAAATTGGCGACGAGTTTCGTGACCCGCTATGCCTCAGGTCACTTTACTGCTCGCTTGTGCGATCCTTATTGGAATCAAGTTCAGTTGTGTGGTGCCCTTTCCATGCTAGCTGGATCACTAGAATTGAATTGAATCCGTTCAACGCAAGTTTGTGAGATATATGCTCTTCGTTTCCTCAACTGGCGTGACCCAACGAACTTGCCACCGTACGAGGAGCGTTGCCGTCTCCTGGGAATCGAGCCATTAGAGGTGAGACGGAAGGTCGCTCAAGCTATGTTCGTTGGAAAACTGCTTACGGGTGACATTGACTTTCCAACACTGCTGTCACAGCTAAATAGGGACCCGTACAGAAGGCCGAAAATTGAAAAGGTCGAAAATTTATCAAAAACCGAATTTGTTGAAAACCGCATCCAAACAATTTGTTAGCCTTTTTGCTCGCACAACTGACTCGGCTCGTTAAATGGTTTTCATTCACAAAAAAAGAAGCCAAGATGAAATTAGATATAGAGGTGTTCTCACTTGCTGACTTTTTGGGACAAACCAGTAAGTGGTAAGTGGTAAGAGAACGGTAAGGAAATGAGAGATGCGATAGAGGTGAACGGTTTATTTACGCAACATTCTGTTTGGGTAGCAAGTTGCACAAGCAGTTGAATGTGTGTGTGTGTTCAGCAAAACAGACCAAGAGAACTATCGCTGCTAATGACGATTTTCGATTTGAGAATACCTCCCATATTGAATTTCATCTTGAACGAAGCCATCATCGTCATTGCATACGGAAAAGTAAAGCTAACTAATCACTTTCTCTCCCATTTAGCATTTCTGCTCTTACAACTTGTCCGCATTCACACAAAACGAAGCCATCTTGTCATTATATCGTCGTTAAACACTCAAACAAACAAAACTAAAGCTACCCAAATTTTAAGTTTTTTTTTTCATTATGGAAATCGAATGGCTATTAAGTAGCTTCTTTTACATTTTATGAAGATGCAGAATAATAATTATTGTTACTTTTATTGTAATAATGTAATTTGATTTATTAAAAACAAATTAACAAAAGCCCGAATCGGGAAAGCGACAAAGTGGACCGGTGCGGTGGAGCGTGCGCGAACGCACCGGTCCACTTTGTCACTTTCCCGAGCTTTTTCGGCCTTTTGTGATTCGGCGTTTCGTGATTCGGCCTTATGTGATTCGGCCTTATGTGATTCGGCCTTATGTGATTCGGCCTTATGTGATTCGGCCTTTTGTGTATTTCGGCCTTATGTGATTCGGCCTTTTGTGTATTTCGGCCTTTTGTGTTTTCAGGCTTTTGTGATTCGGCATTCTGTGATTCGGCCTTTCGTAGTACTCCCGCTAAATATTTATGCCCCTGAGAGGTCTCTTTGTCAACGCGACTTCCTGAAATCCATGTGAATTTCACATAGCTTTCCTGTGATCACATAGCTGCAAATCACAGTACAAAATCACATCTCAAAAGGGCGAAAATTTCTCAAAATATGCGATAAGTGAATTTTAACCTACGAGTATCTCGAAAATAACAACTTTGGGCAATTTAAGCATTATGAGCTTTTTTGTTGAAAATTTAATGTGTTTTAATATTAACACTATTTCAAAGATATTCGATAACTACTGGTAGTATTTTGGAAAACACTTATTTTTTCAATAATTCATAACTTTTTTATTTATGATGCACAGTGTCAGTAGGTATCCCTTTACCTAAACTACAAAATAAATATAAAAAAATAATTTAAAAAAATATGGAATCTGAATAATTTTATTTTTTTTTAATTTTGATTTTTTTTGTATCTCAATCAAACAAATCGTTCGCAAGATATATGTTTTTCTATTTCAAGACCAACAATTGAAATCTAGAGTAACATTTGAAATGGGCCTATGTCCAAAACGTAAACAAACCAGAAAATGAATTTTAAATTTTTGCCGCCTCTATTCAATTCATATTTAAGAAAATTGAAGTATTTTAGGCATTTATATTGTTCACAATAACAATAGTAACTGTATCTCAGTATACAACATCCAAAATATGCGAAAACCTTTCAAAAATATATGAAAATCGATAACAATATAATTTCATACATTAATAAGCCTTTTTTGTGAATCTTTCAATGGATTGGCCCTTTTTGTTAAGCCGTTGTGCTTGTCATCAGAAATGGTAGGCCCTTTGCTAAGCCTTTTCGCTACGTCAAATAAATTCAAAACAAATCATCGGCCCTGCCTCAAGCAGTAGGGCCTAGCTTTGGTTTGAAATTTTTCAATCATCGGCCCTTCTACGTCACTAGGCTTAACAATGAAATGAAATAAATGAATGGTTGGCCGTTTTAGCGTGCGGGCCTATAAATGAATCGAAAAATTTCGTTGATCGGCCGTTTCGAAAATCGAGTTATTTTTAATGATTTTTCTCGATTATGCGGAACTTTCTTACACGATTAGTAGCTATCAAGCGGTGCTAAAGAATGGTATCAAAACCCGATTTGTTTACGTTTTGGACATAGGCCCATTTCAAATGTTACTCTAGAAATGGCCTTAACTCCATTTTGTAAATAAACCTTGTAAAGCCATTTTCTCGCGAACCGAAGTCCGCAAAGGCAAACCAACATAATGAACAGGTAGAGGAAATTCTCCTCTACCCGATTGTGGTTTAGGTTTGCGAATGAAGGTTTCGGTTCGCGAGAAAATGGCCTTTCAAGGTTTGTTTACAAAATGGAGTTAAGGCCATTTCAATTGTTGGTCTTGGGAAAACAAATATGTAAAATGGCATGTTGGACAACAACAAACACCTGTGCAAAGTTTCAACATAATCGTAGAAGGTCGATCAAAAAATTAAAAAAAAAATCGTCATTTGAAATGGAACTGCTGGAATCTTTCAATGAATAGGCCCTTTTTATTAAGCCGTTGTGCTTGTCATCAGAAATGGTACGCCCTTTGCTAAGCCTTTTCGCAGCGTCAAATAAATTCAAAAAAAATCATCGGCCCTGCCTCAAGGAATAGGGTTAGGTCTAGCTTTGTTTTGAAAATTTGCAATCATCGGCCCTTCTACGTCACTAGGCTTATCAATGAAATGAAATAAATAAATGGTTGGCCGTTTTAGCGGGTGGGCCTACAAATTAATCGAAAAATTTCGTTGATCGGCCGTTTCGAAAATCGTTTTATTTTTAATGATTTTTTCTCGATTATGCGGAATTTTCCTACACGATTAGAAGCTATCAAGCGGTGCTAAAGAATGGTATCAAAACCCGATTTGTTTACGTTTTGGACATAGGCCCATTTCAAATGTTACTCGAGAGCTGTTCTTTCGAGTTACATTGCTGCAGTAATTATTGGCGCTTTTTCACTGCTCCTTATGTATCGTCCAACATATGAAACGAAAATACATTATTTTAAAGGTCCGATACATCCTTCTTAACCATAGTTTTTAAGCTTCCGTTATTAAACCAAATTATCATTTGTTAATTTTTTAACGTTTCAATTGTTTTATAGCTAATAACCTTCATGTCAAACGGGGTAGCTCTTCAGCAATCTATATGTAATCATTGTCCAATGTACAATAAGATAGACAAGTTGGATAACTGCAATTACCGCGTAATATCATTGCTGCCGCCTACAAGGTTATCTCCCAAATTCTATGCATTTGCAATACCAGGCGGGATTCATGCACGACCAGAATTTTCGTGATTCGGCAGGTTCTGCAGAAATGCGGCGAATACAACGTGCACTTAGGGTAGTTCAAATGTATGAAGGATCGCAACCACTGCTCTTTCGATCTGTATTGAGCTCACCAGTCCCGAGTTTGCTACGATCTGGATTTGCGGGAGATCTTTAATGTT